TTCATCCTTAGGTTTCTACTCAAGAGAAATGAAAGCATATATCCTAACAATGACTTAGATGAGAATGTTCACAGCAGCTTTATTTGCTATTCAAAAAATAGAAACAACCCAGTGTTTCTCTATGGTTGACTGAAGAAGCAAATTGTGGTATATCCATACAAAAGAATAATACATAGCAATAAAAAAGAGTGAACTCTTGATATATGCCATTATATAATGAATATCTAAGTAATTATATTGGGCTGGGGATGTAACCCAGTGGTAGAATGATTGTCTAGCATGAGCAAGGCCCTGGGTTTAATCCCCAGCACTGTGAAATTAATTAATTAATTAATTAACTAACTAATCACATTGAGTTTAAAAAGCCCCCCTAAAGTACATACTGCATGCTTCCAGGTATACACAATTCTAGAAAATTCTGCCACTCTTTAGCAACAGAAAGTAGATAAGCCTGAAAATTGGGGGTGAGAAGGAAGGATGGTGAATATGTTCAATATCTTGATTGTAGACATGGTATCACAAATACATATATATTAAACTTAGTGCAGCATTTTTATACCAATTATCCTTCAACAAAGGTACAGAAAAAAAAGAAAATTAAAAAATAAAAAGACATTACATCATGTCCAAGTTGGGCTTATCTCAAGAATGTGAGGTTGATTCAATATTCAAAAATTAATTTGTGTAATTCATTACATTAACATGATAAAGGAGAACTGTATACTCATTTAAATAGAGGCAGAAGATAGAAATAATTAACCTTCAGAAAAATAACACAAGGAAACATGCCAGAATTTAAAAGTCATGAGCTTCCACGTTGAACATAATACAATGGATAATGAAAAAAAAAAAAAAATCCTCACTCTATGGCACATTATTGTAAAATTTCAAATAAGAAAGCCAGGCACAGTGGCGCATGCCTGTAATCCCAGCGGCTTGGGAGGCTGAGACAGAAGAATCATGGGTTCAAAGCCAGCCTCAGCAATAGCAAGGTACTAAACAACTCAGTGAGACTCTGTCTCTAAATAAAATCCAAAATAGGGCTGGGGATGTGGCTCAGTGGTCGAGTGCCTCTGAGTTCAAAACCCAGAACAACAACAACAACAAAAAATGAAAACATTAGAAGCTTCTAGAAAGACTAGAAATAGAAGTGGATTTGGGGCTTTTCATCAGCAACTGAAAGCTAGAACAATGCCTTCAGAATTTTGGGTAAATTATCTACCAAATACAACAGTCACTCAAATATATAACAGGTCAGGTAAATAAAGATGTTTTTGTATATTCTAAAACATTTCTTTTCATTCCTTCCTTAAGTATATAATTTCTCGGGCTGGGATTGAGGCACAGTGGTAGAGCGCTTGCCTAGCACGTGTGAGGCCCTGGGTTCGATCCTCAGCACCACATAAAGATAAATAAATAAAAGTATTGTGTCCATCTACAACTGAAAAAAAAAAGAATATAGTTTCTCCTCCCCTCCATCGAAATAGGGACTATACGGGAAAGGTAGAACTGTGGTCACTGAAGGACAGGAGAGAAGAGCAAGAAGAATCTCCAGAATGATGGTGATGGAAATTTCCAGGGCAATAGCTGTGCAACTGACCTAGTGGGCATCACTTTGTAGCAGGAATATAGAGGGCACAAGGCAGGGACATTTTCCAGGAAAATACTGAATGGATAGAATGTCTGATTTTAAAATCACTGTATTGTTATTGTTTATGTTTGTATTTTCTGCATATTGTGCTTTGACGTTTTAGAAACATTTCTGGTGGGGAGAAATTGTCCCTCCAGAGGCTATTCAATTCTTAGAGATTGCAAAGGACTCCGCTGAGATTGTGGCTTCAATATGCAAACTAGCCAGGGTAGATCGATATGAAAACTAGCCAATGTAAACCCACATCTCCTCTATCTGGCCAGTACATCCCAAGAAGCAAAATTCTTCCACCAATAGTCACCCCAGACCAGGTACCAGGCGACTCAGGGCCGCCCCTATAGTATAACATCCACTAAAATTATTCAAACTATCCAATCCTAAACTTTTCACACCTTCCCAAGAAAATTCCCCTAAAGGTGGTGGCTCTCCCTTGGCCCCTTCTCCCTCTGGACTGATGTGGGTACTTCCCTAGGTGGCCCCATGTGGCATGCCCTGCCTTATGTTTCTAGGACCTGTAAAATACAACTGCCCAGATTTTCCCATGACTTTCTGTTTCAAAATTTAACCAACCACAGATCCAAAAAAAGTTTTTAAAAAATTGCATCTAGATTAAACATGTACAGATATTTTTTTCTTGTCATTATCCCCTAAACAATACTGTACACTATAATTTACATAGCATTTATATTTTAATAGTAGGGCACCTCTGGGTTCAATCTCCAGTACTGACAGGAAAAAGAAAGGAAAGATGGAGAGAGAGGAAAAGGAGGGGGAGAAAAAATTGAATCTCTGTGCAAAAAAGAAAAAGAAAACAAACAAACAAAAAGCAGCTAAAAGAAATGAAATTGATCACCACTACAGAGTAAGGAATGACAAGGCAAGGGGCTCATACTTACATCATTTAAAAAGTATCCTTTGATTCTTAAAATATGTACATCTCTCACCCTCTGAGTTTTAACAAAGCAAAAATGACTGATCTTGTAGTTTCAATTCAACAGTATTATAATATTTAACTAAATTACTTCCTTGTAGTCACAAAGGCAAGCTACGAACAGGCTGGGGAGCATACAACTCATTCTTGCCAAATGTACCAAGTGGAAGGTATGAGGGCTCGCTCCAGAGAAGCCTCCCAGCTGTGTGCGCTGGCATGTTTGGTTGGTACATTTTGCAGAAGGAATTCAGAGCATGGGTTAACCTAGTGAGTCATTTAAACTGAGGTCAGTTAAAGAGCTTCTACTGTAATTAATCTAGATAATAAAGGAGGATGAAATAAAACACCCTTCCTCCACCCTCTTTTGCTACCCTGTCTTTTTTCCCAGGGGTTGGATAGAGGAACTCCACAAAGCAGAGCTCAAGATCATCCTTCCCAGGGTCGCTCAATTCATCCTGAAATATTAGCTCTCTTGAGGGAAATCTGCAAATGAGGATAAATTAGAGTCCTTCAGAAGGACAGACTATCTTATACATCTTTTGGCTTAATCTGCAAAACGAATTGGAAAGGTGGCCAAAAAGATAACAAAACAAAATCTGCCTTTTGCACCCTGAAAGAACTGATTTAATTTCAGTAACTAGATTTATTCCACTATTGCCTCCTTTTCCTTTGCATTCTGGGTAAGAACTCAGCACTACCCATATAGGCATTGCAAGAGAAAATGAGCAGGCAAGAATTCAAAACAGAACCTATGATGTGGCCTCCTGTGCTTGTGTGGAGTAGGCTTTTAGCAAAGTCACCATCTTACCCGCCCCAGTCAATGAATCCTTGAGGTTCTGAGTACTTAAAGAAGACTTTAAAATGATACACAGGCACCTTTTCAACAAGTCAGCCAAAACCTGATCTCTTTGCTATGCTATTCTGAGCAATAATTTGCACATATATTGCCCAGTAAAGGGAATCTGCTTCCTGCTCTTTTACTTGGAATCAGTTCTGGAATACCTAGGAAGATTAGATCCACCTCCATTTATGATTTGCTGAGTCCACTCGGCTATGCCAGAACTTCCTGACAAATTTCCTTCACAACTGAAACTAGAAAACCAGGCAAGGTGGAAATTGGCTTTTAACATGGATTGTGCCATTAAATTATTTTATCTTTTGTGATGGGCTGAATTTAAAAAAAAAATTTAAGTCAAAATCCTAACCTCCAAATTGATGTAGATTAGGTGAGACCTCATTGCAAAATAAAAAATAATGATGGTAGGGCCTTTGGGAAGTGATTAGGTCATGAGAATAGAACCTCATGAATGGGGTTAGTGCCCTTATAAAATAGGCTCAGTGTGGCTCATTTGTCCTTTCTTCCATGCGAAGACATAGTAGGAAGATGCCATCTATGAACCAAGAACATGGCCCTCATTAGACTCTGAATCTGCCTGTGTCTTCGTCTTGGACTTCCAGTGTCCAGAATTGTGGGGAATAAATAACTGTTTTTCGTAAGTCAGTCAGTCCAAAATATTCTGGTTACTAAAACCGTTCATCTTATATATAGATTTAGCCAGGAGGGGCAATTGGATCTTCTGAAAGGTCACTCCCCATAACCCATGCAAATCAACTCGGAGTGAGAGTCCTCTATTTATTCCAAACCGTTAGGTTACTTAGTTGCTTGGCATCAGGAACCATAGAGTATGACTCTGGTCCTGACACACAATTGTCCCCTTGGTTGAGTTTCATAATGAATCCTGGGTTGGGGATGTAGCACAGTGCTAGAACTCTTGTATAGTATGTATGAGGCTCTGTGTTCAATCCCCAGCCCTCTAAATAAACAAATAGATGTTACCTGCACTTACACTTTTCATATATAACCATTTAATCACCTCGGTTACACTGGATGTCCCCTTATCTTATTTTTTTAATCCCTCTCCACACCTGGTCAGACCCATTGAATCTGATGACACTACTTTCTCAGAAATGATTTTTTCAAATGAAAATTTTAGTTGTGGGTAGACACACTACCTTTTTAAAAAATTCTATTTATTTATTTATTTTAATTTTTAAATTTGTTTTAATTAGTTATAGATGACAGTAGAATGCATTTATGCACTTTGATATGTCATACCAAAATGGGATATAATTTCTCATTTTTCTGAGTGTACACGTTACAGAGTCATATTGGTCAGGTAGTCACATATATGCATACAGTAATACTGTCTGTTTATTTATTTGTTTTTATGTGTTGCTGAGGATCAAACCCAGGGCCTCACATGTGTTAGGCAAGCACCCCACCACTGCGCTACAACCCCAGCCCTCCAGTAATGATTTTGAGCTATTATTACTGCTGAAGATTGTTGAGTTGCTGGATGTTTTTCTGAGTTCCACATCTTCCCAAGCCCTGCTAAATAGAGGGCCCCAAAGAGGTACCTCAGTGTCAGAGCTGTTGCCATTCAGAGCCTCGATGTTTGGGTCCCTCCAGTCTTCTGAGAGTGAAGGGATGTAATTGTCTGTCAGAGCATCCCAAACCCTGTAAACAAAGAGAAGCTCTCATTAGCACACATCTGCGGCATGGCCCTGCCTGGAGGAAGGAAGAGCCAGGCCAGGGCAGGAGAGAGGTTGCTGTGTGTGCCAGGCTGAGATCATCTGCCTTCCAGCAAGCAGGGAGAGAGCAGCTGGAAAACAGAATTATAGGCACGTCTAGGGGAGAGAGAGCCCAGAGCATGGAGCCTGGCTGAAAGGTGTTAGTTTCTTGCCTTGCAAATTAATCTGCACCCGAACCAAAGAGCTTATTCTCTGACCCAAGGAAGTTCCTGTGTTCCTTTCCTATGGACAATGGAGGCGGTGGGGGGGTGGGCCGCTAATGGGGGGGGATGGTTACAGATTTTTTAGCTGAATCTCATTAAAGTTAGGTTCATCATCTAGTTTATAGATATTTCAATTTCGAAGACCTGCAATCTACATAATCATGAATTAACTCTGACATCTAACATAGGTAAGGGGATAATGCCAATATTGAGAATTCTCACTTATTATCCAAAATGTTTTAGGGAGCCCACAGAAGCCACGATCCTGCCCTCTTGTAATGTAGAGGCTAAGTGTAGATCATGGATATTCTAAGGTAAACATAAGAAAGGAACCAATAAACACACTTCTGTCTACACAATTAGTTTGGGTGGGTAAAGATGAAGGTCTTTTGGGGGAAAACTCTGAAGTCATACTCACATATCACATATTCATTAATTAATTGACACCAAAAGATTAATATAAATTAATAAACCAAGCTTCTAATAAAGTAACCCATGGAAACCAGCATTACTTGAGTTAATATTAGATGATGATACATGAGGGTTGTATGCAATATCCCCTGCCGGTGCCTGTACCTGTCAAACATGAGTGATACTTGCAAAACCAAGATAAAAGAAGACATATAATTTTTAGATATACTAATCTAATAAAAATAGCCACTTAAAATGTATACATATGGATCAAATTTATGTTGTAACAAATGCTGAAAGGGTCAGTGCAAAATACATAGATATAGAAATCAGGGCACAGACACTTGAAATCAGATAAATAATAATGCAGAAGGAAGGTGCTATGAACATAAAAAATCGAGAATGACGTATAATATATGGATATGTAAGCAAATAGGTTTTCCTGGTATACAATGCATGCAACTGCAATGAGACAAAAGGAACCCAAGGAAATAGAATTTAATGGCAGTGCTTGAGGCATCTGTTTGCTATTTTTCTGTCATTATAAAAAGCGCTTTGAGAGAATTGGGCAAGTGCTCATTAGACAACTATTCAGCAGAATTTCAGAGAATACTTCTTAAACCATGGGTGATATCCCAATGTCCATCAGGAACTATTAGAGCTGCATCAATACAGGCTAATTCTAAATCTAAGTCCCATTAGCATCCTAGAGCCAAGATGCAAATTTGATTTGTTGTCTCCCTGTCAAAGCTCTTAGGCACCACACCCACTGGGAAGGTCTCGTACTCCTCTTCACATCCTTCTGTTTGGAGAATGAACATGTACGAAGGAACTGACCTTCAGATTTGTCCCTGTGGAAATGCCTGGAGAAGTGAGACTCAGCAAAGCCCAAAATAGGCAGGAGTCTTTTGTACCTCTCCTACTCTGGATAGAAGCTGAGATCTTTATGGACAGCACACCTTCCAATGACCTTGAGACTGCTTATATCCTTGAAGTGACAATGGGGGACTCTCTCACGTTATTTAGGGAGTGCCTACTTTTCTCTGCTAAGCCTTCACTGGCATATTCTGAATTTTATCTTCTAATTCTCAGTTCTAGACTATTCCCTAAACCTTGTCTCCTTGGGATTTCAAACCATTTTCATTTCTCCTTTTCTTTTCTTTCTTTCTGGTATACTTTTTTTTATCCTTTGAAGTCTATAAATTACTTTGAAGATAAAGTATCTCTTCTTTCTTTATAATCACTTGCATATCCTTCCCATACTGATTCAGTGCCCATTTAACAATAACAACAGCAGTCAACAGTTACTGAGCACTTACTACAAGTCAAGTGCTCTTCTAAGCTCTTTATGAGGACTGAGATATTCATTCCTCACAACAACTCCACACAGCAGATGTATGCGAACCTAAAACAGTGAAGCTAATTAAGTTGTGTAAGCTCACACAGCCAGTAATAGTAGAGGCAGGATTCAAACCCAGACAGAATGGCAACAGAGTTCATATCCCTAACCACTTAACAATTTCAACTCTTTGTGATTTACTATATGATGGCATTGGCATGGACATCAGAATAACATGCCAAGTTCCAAATCACAACCTAGAACAGCAGTTTAGACACTGGCTTTGCCTACAAAATCCACACATACATTATTCCGGGTATTGTGCTTTTGGCATTCTACAGGAGGACTAGCAGAGGGAACAGGGTGTGCAACAGCTTTCTGTGTAGGTCTTCAGCCCATGGGAAAGTCCACAGGCAAGCAAAGGAAGGATACTGGTAGGCAGACAGCCATGGAAACAGAGGAGCCAGTGGTGAGAGAGGCAATGGAGCGTTCTGTAAAGAAGAGAATGGGAAGGGTTTTGCTCCTCACAAAGGATATATATTCCATCATAAGCAGGATTCTTGGAAGTGGTTTTCTTTACTTCTCTGAGAAATATCCTGCTTATTTACTCTTATCTCAGAGAAAGAAGATTTTTGCAAGCCATCAACATTATCATTTATCAAAGAACTGAGATTAAACAGGTTGCCTCAATTCCTATCATTACACCACCCTGGCATCGGAGATTCAATTTACTATCTCAGTCCTCATAATCATAGAAAAGGTTCTTCACGTGCATATTTTATAGCTTAGGCGTAGGTGCCTGTAGAATTGACTAAACATGTTACTACTGAGTGTTGGGCATTGGAGAAGGATGCTGGCAGAGTATGAGCAAACTAGCAGAGTGGGGGTGCCAAGAGGAGTGTACAAAGAGCTTCAGGACCTGGAACTGGCAACAGAGCCCTGAGGGCTATATCAGTTCTAATGAACACACACACACACACACACACACACACACACACACTTATTTCTGACAATACAGTAGGCAGCTTAACGGGGTAATAAAAATTATACCAACTAGGTAACATTCCGTTTAATCCTCCCGTATGTGGCTACTTCTCTTGCGAAGTGTTTTATGTCTAGTAAAAATCCACACTTAGATGTGTGTTAACATGAGTGCACTTTTGTAGTTCCTATTTAGGAATTCGGAATTATTAGCACATGAATGCCTTTGTTCAACTTTTTAGATCTTTCAAATGTTTAAATAGAATCAACACCATCTCTGCCCTTTATATGGGAAAACTGAACCTCTACAAAGATAATTATGTTTTCTTAAAAATACAGTTATCAGTTTTCACTATCTCTTAAATCATTTACTTGTCTTCAATTTAAAGTATGTTAAGGGCTGGGGCTGGGGCTCAGTGGCAGAGCACTTGCCTACCATGTGTGAGGCACTGGGTTTGATCCTTAGCACCACATAAAAATGAAACAAATAAAATAAAGGCATTCTATCCATTTAACAACTACCAAAAAAATTTTAAAAATAAATAAAGTCTGTCAAGGTGTCCCACATTAAGCCATATATTTAATAAAATTCCAATTAAAATTTAAAAATAAAAATAAGTATGTCAAGTGTGCACAATAGTGCACAATTATAATCCCAGTGACTTGGAAGGCACTGAGGCAGAAGGATTGCATGTTTGAGGGCAGCCTCAAAAAAAAAGGACTGTGGATGTGGCTCAGTGATAGAGGATTCTATCCTTAGTACAGCAAGAAAATAAGAAGTATGACACGAATGGTGTGAAAATACTTTGTGTACAGTGTCTTAAAAAATTGTGTTCTATTTGTGTAATATGAAATGAATTGCATTCTGCCATCATGTATAACAAATCAGAATAAATTAAAAAATAACAGGCAGTTTATTTATTTTTTGCATGGACTTTACTTTTAACATCATATTTAACTCATTAATTCTATGTGAAGAACAGGATATAGCCATGGTTCCCAAATTTTTGGCCTCTCTGCCTGCAGGATATACTTGTAAGAGAGCTAAGAGGCAGGAGGCAGGGTGAGGGTTGTCCATTCCCATTTTTGTAGTAGCCTCTAAGGGTTTCTAAATGTCAGGTCCCATGTTTTATGGCAAAGGAAAACAGGGTGGTCACAGAAACAGAAAGAAGAGATTCCGGAATACTACTTTCTGAATTAAAAACCAAGCAAATATATACAGCACTCAAATCTAACGCTCCTAGAACTTCCTTGCCCTGAAATCAAAGTTGATACAGTTCCAAATGAGGACTAAAGGAATGAAAATTTCTACCAGAATAAGGAAATCATTGTATATCAATGTGTATCATTTATGATTTCTGTATTATTTATTTATTTACTTTGCAGTACTAGGGATTGAACCCAGGGGCACTTTACCACTGAGCTACATTCCCAGTCCTTTTTTATTATTATTTTTATTTTGAGACAGACTCTCACTAAATTCCTGGGCTGGCCTTCAACTTGTGATCCTCCTTCCTCAACTTTCTGAGTAGCTGGGATTACAGGTATGTACCACTGCATCCAGCCCCTTTGTGCTATCTTTAAAGAGATTAGTTTTATCAAGTTTTTTTTGTTTGGTTGGTTTGGTTTGGTTTGGTTTGGGTTTTTTGGTGGTGTTGGACCCTGCTTTTGTTTTAAGCTTCTAGTATTTAGATATAACCCAGCCACAACACTTCATTTATAGATTGAAACATCTCTCTAAACACTAAACCTGAGTAGGTTTAAAACAATAGCACTAGTGGAGTTTTGTGACTAAATTAGATATCAAATCATCTTTTTCCTTTACTCTGTCATAATTGCAAATATTTGGACAGAGTTTGTAAAGCAAAAACTGTAATTAAATTCTGATTTTCATTTTAAGTTATAAAGAGGCTTTAAATATACTGAATGCCTAAAAAGTGCAAGGTCAAATTTTCTTCTGTCTGCTCTACACTGCCCTCAAATCGCACTTTATCTCTAAGGAATTATTCAACCTTTAATCTCTTAGCTGAGGCAGTCAAGTCAGAAAAACCAGGCTGGGAAGACCCATAATCCCATGTGACAGCAATTAACATTGAGTGGCCTTTGCTAATGTGCCAAAAGAGAATAAGAACCTGCTCACTGGGCCTTCACCCTTAATGAGCCAGAGGAAGGGTTTAGATAGGGGGGAAATGATTTGTTAGAAGCCTTAGAAATGGAATGCATCTTAAAATGCCATTTTCAGAACACAACCTGGGTGAGGGAAGAAATCAGTTTCTTTGCAAGTCCTTAGACCCACTTCATCAAAATTAAACTCTAGAGGTTCAAAGATGAGAACTAGAGTTAAGTGACTTGCCCAAGGTCACACAGGAATTAGTGAGAGTACAAAAATTAGAATTCATAGTCTTTGTGTTTCTAGTTCATTGCCTGGTGCACTGGAGTGAAAAAAAAAATGTATACTCCATTTAATAAAGCCTCTAAGCATTTTTTCTGACTTACAGAAGTTGAGCAAATTATAATAGGCTCAGAATTTTAAAAGAATCAGTAGGAAATTTAAAATTGAATTGAAACACACAGCCCACAGTTATAGTATGGTCACCAGAGTAAAATGTTCTCTGTGATCATGCCCTCAGGCTAGCATTAATTAAAAAGAAGGAAATGGTGTGGGCCTAGAAATACCTTACTCAGAACTATAAGATTAGCTATTATCATTTGTCCTTTACATATAATATTTAATATTTCATTAAAAATATCATTTGATCACTTACTACAAACTACACACAGTATTAGTGCAGACAATAGTGAATAAGAAAGACAGAGACATAGGTAGCTCCTGTATTCATAGAAGTACAGTCTTAGTAGTCCCTAAATAAGCAAATCTTTCCCAAATATAGTCAGGATCCTCTAGAATATGCCTCCTACCCCATGTGTGGGAACTCGTCCCACACATGTCTATAAAAAAAGAGAAACTGGTCTTGGAGTATAGCTCAGTGGTACAGCCCTGGCCCCGCATGTGCAAGGACCTGGGTTTGATTCCCTGCCTCAACCCCCACAACCCCCACCCCAAAAAAGAAAATGGAAAAATAAAGAAAAAAAACAAAAACAATCTAGCATAGTTGTTTTAAACTTTCACACCAACTACTTGACATTTCTCATGTGATTTCTAGAGAATTATTAATGTATATTTTATCTCTACTAAGAATTCATGCTTCTTGTTTCTACTTGCTGATTTGAAGCTGATTATTTCAGAAGAAAAATTCTCAAGCTCAGAGAGGGAAGGGTCCTCTAGATGGTGGGGAGATGAGCCTTAGAAACACTGGGGCTTCTCCTCCAGGTCCTCACTTCTCTAATTTATGGGATGGGCTTACCCTTTTCTCTTCCTACCTTGGACAATTCTTCCTCAGATTTCTTTCCTTAACAACTGTCACTTGTAGTTAGCAAGTGACCCAAGGAATGTGCATACTCAAAACCACACCACCCAGTTTTCACCTTTATTTTGTTCAGGAACTCCCTTAGCTTTCAGTTTAATTGGATGTTTTTTTTATTTGGAAATATCTTAACATTTGAAGGATAAATTTCCAGGCCTCGGGGGTTATAACTAATTTTGAAATTTTTGTCATTCTGGTGTTATGGAGGCAAATTGGTCCAATGATATAAATTCCTCTATCACAGTTAACTAGTTCTTTTCTAGTCCTATTTCTAATATCTGGATGCATTACCACTAATGAAAAGAAACCTGGCTAGCTAGGCTTGGTGACTCATGTCTATAGTCCCAGCTACTATAGAGGCTGAGGTAGGAGGATCACAAATTCAAGGCCAACTTGGGCTACTTAGCAAGACTCTCTCAAAATAAAAAACAAAAAGGGCTAGGGCTATAGTGCTATCAACTGCTTGCCTAACATACAAGACCCTGGGTTCAATCCCCAATATGTGAAACAAACAAGGAGAAAGAAAAGAAGAATAAAAAAAAGAAGAAGAAAAAGAAGAAATGGAGGGAGGAAAGCAAGCAATCTACTAACTAGACTCCAAAATTTTCTCTGCTCCTATAATTCATTTTTTATCTAAGAAAACCTAACTAATTCCTTTCATTCATCTAATATTTCAATCTAAGAAAGCTTTCTGCAGATAACTATAAATGTTATCAGCAATGTCAGGGCACTGTCACACTGACAACATAAAAATAGGTAATGCATCATATAAACATGTGGGCAGAAACTAGCTCTAGGTTAAGGATCCCAGACTACTGCATTCTCTCCTGAAGCAGGAGAAGGGCAATCAAGGCTTCTTACTCCTCATCCTGAAGGGTCTCTTCCTCCTCTTGGATCTGGAACTGGTTCTTCACAGGAGCTAGGTTTTCGGTCTTGGCATTGTAGTTCCTAAAGCAGACATTGAGCTTCTCATCAAATTCATTCACGAGGTCCTCCATGGACTTGAAGCTGATTATTTCAGAAGAAAAATTCTCAAGCTCAGAGAGGGAGGGGTCCTCTAGATGGTGGGGAGATGAGCCATAGAAACACTGGGGCTTTTCCTCCGGGTCCTCAGAACAGCAGGGCCGAAGGTCCTCAAACTCTTCGTCCAAACTCACCAGTGGGGCCTCCATTCTTGCACCACAATACAACTATAGCAACTTTCAAGATTCGTTTTCCTGGAAGAAATAAACAGGGCAATGTGAATTTGGCCTGGACTTTTATGACCCATAAGCACATATTCTATTACTCCATATTCCTCAGAAAACAAAGATTCCCCAATACTGGCATTGGTGCACTGCTATGCACTTCAGGAGTTCAAATATCACTATGTACGTTGATACTAACTAACTAAATAGAGTGAACTTTGGAAATATACCTGCTTCCAATTTTCTGCTCCAAAGCTTAGTGGTTAAGTGTGCAGCTCCTGGGCCAGACTTTAGGCAAGTTACTTAACTTCTCTGTTTCCTTTTATTCTTCTCAAGACAGCAATAATAATAGGACCTACATAAAATGATTTTGGTTTTTTTTTGTACCAGGGATTGAACCCAGAGGTGCTTAGCCACTGAGTCGCATCCCCAGCACCACCATTCTCCCTTATTTTTAAAAATTTTGAGACAGGGCCTCACTAAATTGTTAAGGCTGGTCTCGAGCTTGCCATCTTCCTGCCTTAGCCTCCGGAGGCTCTGGGATTATAGGCAAGAGTCACTGTGCCCAACTCCAATGGTTGTTTTAAGATTAAAGGAGCAGTGCTTGGCAGCAAGCTGAGGACACACACCTGTAATCCTAGAGATTTGGGAAACTGAGGCATCTAAAAAGAGGATCCCAAGTTTGAGCCCCAGACTTAGCACCTTAGTGAGATCCTCAACTACTTAGTGATACCCTGTCTCAAAATAAAAAGTAAAAAGCAGTGGGGATGTAGCTTAGTGGTAAAGCATCCCTATGATCAATCTCCTATACTCCCTCCAAAAAAAGTGGTTGGCAGATAATAAATGCCAATATTGTTCAACATTCATATTGTTATTGCTGTTGTTGATATCGCTGTTCCCACTGGTCCACATCTCTAGCCAGGGGCTCTGCTTTGAAAATTGAAAGTTTTTCACAATTTGTTTGGTAACAAAGATTGACATGACCTCAACTCATTTGGCAACAAAACTTGATTGGCACGGACATAAATCTGATTGGGTTTTAATGTATCCCATTCAATGTGTTTTGCTGCAGAGTATTAAGTTTCTAGACAGACCGGGTGCATAACTCAGTGGTAAAGTATGAGCTTAGCATGAATGAGGTCTGGGGTTTAATCCCCAGCACTAAATAAATAAGTAAATAAATAAGATTGTTACCTGAGAATACATACTCTATCTGCCTTCCAAAAGTTGAAATAATCTAAATTCTGAAACATGCTCAGGCCTAAGGTTTTGGATATTACTACCTTCAACCATAAATAATAGAGAATGATGGAACAGTAATTGAGATTTTCTGACAACTACCTGAGTTTTTCCAAGATGCAGAGCATATACCTAGAAATACAGGAATGAATTAAATGAACTACCCATAAGCTCCAAAATCAGACTCCATATCCTTTTTGGACACTGCACCCTGGAAAGCTGCACACTTAGACTTCCCTCCACTTCCTCAAAACTCTGGGACTTCTACCCTTTTTCTGCCTTTTTTCACATACTGTCTTAAACTGTGATTTATCTTTCTGTGCTAACTTCCGAGTCTCTTCCCAATTTTAATTTAAATTCCTCGAGGGCACAGAGATGTCCTCCGGATATCCTCCATGGCTCCTAGCACACACAGATTGCCCTGTGGCTAGGCAATCAATCAATGTGTGCTCATTGAAAAATGATCTGTCCCCACATACAGTTTCCCACAAGCATTGCTGTCTATCATATCCTTCTCTATATGCTCAACTTTCTTTCCTATAACACAGAAGGCAACCCGTCTTTTCTCTCTTGGTTTCTGTGATCACTGATTCAGTTAAAGGCTTCATTTGGACTCACACCCCAGGGAGAACCAGATAGCAAAAACTAAGCATTTTGCCTGGAGTTCCCATCCCCCATCTCTACTTAAAAAACTAAAACTCTAAGCAAGGCAGAGGGCAGTAGGTGAGATGGTTCTTACTGGGGTTTTGCTAGGATTAAGTAATTACCATGGCATCAAGCTATACTTCAGCATTACAGTTTGCAAAGGCAACATGACAGGACCTTGGAATATAAAAAGATATAAAAGCAGCCCCCTTTTGTTTTTTTTTTTATTTTGGAAAGAGCACAGGCTCAAGAGCCAACAGACCTGGACTGGGAATGTAGCTCAGAAGTACAAGCCCTATACCAAGAGCAATCCTTGACACCATTAAAAAAAAAAAGACAACAGACCTGCCAATGGCTAGCTGAGTGGTGAGTATGTGGATTCTGATTTCCTCATTTACTATAGCAAAGTCAATACCTTTGGAAGTTAATCTTAATACCTTAATCATTTTAATTGTCAATACATTTTAGTAATATATTTAATCCAAAATTTCAAAGTATTTCCATTTCAATACATAATCCACATTAAAAATTCTAATGAGAAAATTTACTTTTTTTTCCAGTACTAGGGAGCCAAACTGGGTGTTCTACCACTGAGCTATATTCTAAGCCCTTTTTTTAATATTTATTTTTTAGTTTTAGGTGGACACAATATCTTTATTTTATGTTTATGTGGTGTTGAGGATTGAACCCAGCGCCCCACACACGCCAGGCGAGTGCGCTACGGCTTAAGCCACATCCCCAGCCCCCCCCCCTTTTTTTTTATTTTGAGAAAGGGTCTCAATAAATTGCCCAGTCTGGCCTTGAACTTGAGGTCCTTCTGCCTCAGACTCCCAAGAAGCTGGGATTACAAGTGTGTACTACTCTACCAGGTTCAGCTAATTTACATTTTTAAACATTTATTTTTTTAGTTGTAGGTGGACACAATACTTTTATTTTATGTTTATGTTGTGCTGAGGATCAAACCCAGTGCCTCACGCATGCTAGGTGAGCGCTCCTCCTTTGAGCCACAACCCCAGCCCTGCTAATTTACATTTTTATATTCAGTTCTTTTAAATCTATTGTGCACTTTACATTCATAGCTTCTTTGGACTAGGCTCCTTTCAAGTACCCAGGAACTACATGGAGGTAGTGGCTACCACACTGCACACACAGCTCTAGATCAATTCAGAACTAATTGCTAGTCAGGAGTTCTTCGTTTATCTTCTACAATTCAGAGAAGAATTATAGGTTTCTCCACAACACTTCAAAAGAGTTCATCAAAGAAGGAGGAAGAAAATCATCTCTGAGCATAAAAAAAAAAAAGCTAGTTTAGAAAAGATCTCAGGGTATAATAGAGAATAGAGAAGGTTTTATAGTCAAAGGATTTGTGTTAATTGAGGTAGTATCCAGTGATAGTTAAAAACTCAGACTCCTGGGCTGGGGATGTGGCTCAAGCAGTAGTGCGCTCGCCTGGCATGCGTTAGGCCCAGGTTCGATCCTCAGCACCACATACAAACAAAGAAGTTGTGTCCGCTGAAAACTGAAAAATAAATATTAAAAAAAAAATTCTCTCTCTCTCAAAAAAAAAAAAGAATCCATGAGGAAGACTTAAAAAAGAAAAAAAAAAAAACCCGGACTCCTAACTGGAGTGAGACTTTGGGCAAATTATCTGCCTCCGAGTGCTTCAATTTTGCCATCTGTACAATGGGGTTTAAAATAGTGCTTACTTTCAAGGTTATTTCACTGATCAATGAGATTGTCTTTGAAATGCTAAGCACAATGTGTGGAAAACAGAAAGTGTTCAATAAATGTCAACAATGCTTGGAACACCAGGATAACTTATTTACATAAAAAAGCGGCACAAGAGCATTTCAAGCAAAAAATATTATCCCTGCCATATTAGTCTATGTATGATGTTTCGGAATGCTTACCAAATGAGAGAAGTATTGATGAAAAACCTGGGCAGATTTTTTACTAAGGCTTTTTTCAATTCATTTCATTCAAGTTTCCTGAATCTTTGGTCTCTCTATTCTATCCTCAGTACAAGTAGACTTTAGAGAAATAGATTCATCTAGGAAATTATAAAAGAAATGAACACCAAGATCTAGAGTCCAGAAACATGGTATTGGAAACAATCCATAATATAGCCAGATTGCTTGTTATCAACACACTGACAAGGAGCCAAGAAGCACTGCATGAATGACCAGCTAGAGATGCAGCTAAAATTGAAAGCCTAAATGAGAATCTGGTCACTCAGTACCCAAACTGAACCCAGCATTTGTGACAGAGGAGATGAGAATCAAGCATTCTAACTGGCTCTACCATACTCTTAAGGAGTGGGGAAGAGGGGCATCCTCTGGGTTGGGGTTGGCACAAGCCTTGCAACGGTGCCCCCTTACCTTCCTTCCTTTTGCCTCCATTCTTTTGCTCTCTTTTAGCTGGGTGCCTTCAGCCCCTAACTAAAATGTCTGAAACAACCTTCAAATCTTTCTTCCTGACAACTTGTTCCTGTGCTCAGTCACAGCTCATCTCAAAGCCCTCCTCCCCTCCAAAGTCAGGGTTAAGGGCTAAGGTGTAGTTCAGTGGTAGAGCACTTACTTAGCACATACCAAGCCCTGGATTTGGTCCCTGCACACACACACACACACACACACACACACACACAACACACACCCCTGAGTTAATATAAGTAATAGCTATACTCTCTTTATACTTCCAAAGTGAATAGATTAAAAAAAAAATGGCATTAAAGAAGGAATTATGGGAGAGTCATTTTTTCTTGTCTTTAGCATAGAACAGAGTGCAGGACTATAGTTTGATTGTCCTATATCTATTCCATTTATTTTGGTTTCCAATAGATGGTGTAGTTTGAAAAGAAAAGACATTCAAGGAGTTTAACAGGGACCCAGTAGGTAACATAAAAGCCTCTCCCTGCACCACAATGATGCACTAGCTGCAGCTTGGGGCTGCCGTACAAATTATCAGTCTCTGCTTTGCTGAGCTGAGCAGTAGAGATTTCATCATGCCTCCCTCCTCTGCTGGGCCTCTGCACCTCCACACAAGCCCCATTTCATACCCCGACCCATCCTTCCCATTACTTGCTCTATAGATCCATTCTTTGGCCCCCCCACATCCATCCCTAAAACCTGCCCTCTGCTAATCCACCA